TTTTGTAGAAGGGGTATTAATATTGCCTGTTCTAATATAAAAGCTTTTATGAATGTTGCAATAATATCCTGGCTCTGATTACAGTTACCTATGTACTGGGGACAACTTTGTTTACCTAGGCATTAGTCTGCAAATCAAGTTTTAAAAGTGAGTTAACTAGGGTTATAATGGCACTCTTGTTTCAAATAGGGACCAATCTGGCGTAGAAGAGAACTACATGTAGTATATCTATTTGTAGTGTTGACTATAAGTGAATTATATTAGCAAATACATATAATTATTCCTTCAGAAGCCATTGATTTACAACTTTATTTGTACATTCCATATTTCTGTCTACGTGAACTATGTTGCTACTATTTTAATTGTATGTTAAAGTTTTTCTTTAGATTTTCATTTGTTTGAATGATTTATTATATTATTTGTTTCATGTTATGATTTATATGTGCAATAAATATTTAGAAGATGAGTCATTTATGTTATGCTTGATATTTTTAAAATAGACTTGTTTCAGTATTAAAAAATCACAATCACATCACTACCTCTTACTTTTGTAATGGACAATCCTTCTCAATAGGACTTGTTGAGTTCAGCTTTGCCGGTGCTAGGGGGCGTGGACGAGTATTTTTGAATTGACCACTTTGCCGTTCTTGAATAGGCTCGATCACGCCGAGCTTGCAACATTTTCAATATTATTGTGTTGAGTGAACATCAGTGTTTCCATTTTAATACTTCTGATTAAAAAAAACGTAAAGCAACAGTTATAGTTTTAAATCAGAGACATAGATAACATTGATATCTATGTCTCTGTTTAAATATGCAAGAAACATTTTACTACAATGTAGAAATCATCATCGGATGTATCCAACTTAACCAATTTGGTCGCCAACTGGTGACAATCCCAATCTAAACAAAAGCGCTTACTTACAACAGATCTAATATGATTGGCGTTGATAAAGGTACTCTAACTGAGTGTATATAAAACTCATTAATGGTACATGTATGTATTTTCATCATAAACCTACTCTCCGTCCCCCATGAGTTCAAACACAAGTAATGAACAAATACTATGAGGTTCATTTGTAAGCAATGTTTAAGATATTTGAAACGAATAGTTGGGCTGTTTTATTTCGGTTTTTTTAGGAGACCTGATTTAAAAAAGGCTTTTTGTTCCCTTTAGTTTCCTAACAAATCGTGAAAAAGTTGAAACCCTGCCCTTCATATATTTGGGAAAATGTACTGAAAAGTTATTAAAATCTGCCAGAAATAAACCCCTTTCATATTGTTCCCGAATTTTCTCGGGGCTAGGGTCTTGGGATATTGGACAAATTAAACAAACGTTAAGGACGAAAAAAATACTCAGAAGTATACTTAAACAAAAACACTTAAGATTGATATCACTTGAATTATCCTACCATTCTTTTTTTATTTATTTATTTATTTTTTTTTTTTGGGGGGGGGGGGGAAATGTATACTCGTAGCAGTTGTCGAGAATGTTAAAAGAAGTTTACGAAATCATGCTATAGGATTAAGTAGCATAAGCCATATCTATATCTAATATATGTATTATCAAAGAAATATGAGACGATTTTCTTATTTTTACCACAGTACATGTATCTGTTCTATTCCTTATACTAATGGAAATATCCATCCTTCTATCTTTAGGATCTATACTGAACGATTGGAGTCGATGTTGCTTTGTCTGAAAGAAATTCATGAGATCAATGATTTAATGAACTTGCACAATTTAATGTTTTGTGTGTGTATATTAATTAGCAAAGAGATGTCGCTAAACTAATGAAAAAGAATTGAAAAATAAGAATAAAGGTTAACCAGAGATTGTTTCAAAATAACGTAGATTTTGTTGTGCTGTTAAATAATTCAATCTATCGTTTACACGAATACAATTTTGCATAATATTACTGGGGAAAAAATCTTTGAAATAATTGTCTACACACAAAACAAAAAAACAGTCGCTACATGTAACCTACATATGGTGCATGTTGTTGCCGATTCCATATCGTCGCTGACGTTGTAACAACTTTGAATAGACACGTGTGCCTGACGAGTATTTAAACTTATTTTCCTCGCACGCATTGGCAATCAACATTATATTGTTAGAAAATAACTTCAAACAATTGAAAAGCCATAATATGCGACGGCTGTCAGCAGACCAGCATGTCTTGATCCTTAGAAACCCACCAAATTTGTACAAAATCGAATCGCATGGAATTCAAGGAAATGGTTTTATCACGGTTGTCTCGAGAATAGTGTGGTTTTACGAAAATTTCTACAGTTTATTTACAGAAAGAACAGATCTCAAGTCGCAAAAACGACCATGCAAATCTGCTGCACATTTTTCTTTAAATTAGGACTTTGGGCCTTATATTACTGGAAAGAAGACCCACCAATCTTGTACATAGTTGAATCCGCATTGGAATCAAGGAAATGTTTTTTTTCACGGTTGTCTCGAGAATACTGTATTACTTAAATTTCTACAGTTTATATACAGAAAAAAAACAAAGTCTGAAAAATCGGCCATGTCATGCGGAAATCTGCTGCACATTTTTCTTTAAATTGGGGCTTTGGGCCTTTTATTACTGGAAAGAATTAAGACCAACCAATCTTGTTCATAGCCTAATCCGCATTGGATTCAAGGAAATGATTTTTTCACGGTTGTCTCGATATTATTGTGTTTTTTTTTTAATTTTTTACGACTGCTAGTAAAAGCAACACATGATGATGTAGCCTAATTAATTTGGCGTGAACGGTTTGACCCATTTTACAGACTTTTTTATTACTGTCAAACCGTTTTTTGGAAAAAGACAGCGCCCGTCCAAAATTATCTCGGTGTCTCTTTGACAAGTCTAATTAGTTGGACTAATGCATGATGATGCTAATATTTGTAAAACTTGCACACTATATTCATTTTCATCTGCCAATAAATTTAATTTGGTGAATGATGAATGTATTTGTAGCACGAAAACTGTTTTATAAAACCTTCATATTTGACTACCATTTTCCTTAATGGTTTTTACACATCAATTAAAATATGTTATAAATACATATACTGACTTATAGTCTGTTCATATAGTTTTAATTTTATAGCAAGTTAACTGTTGGAAGTTTTTCACAACTTAACCTGAAAGTTTTGAACAATCTAGCCTTCCATACTTGCTTTTTTGGGGATTACCTTGATACCGTAGTAACCTCCTCTGAAATTACCCAAAATGGCAGACATTGAAAATATTCTAAAAAATGTCATTTTTATTGGTTCTTTTGAAATATTTTTTTGACAAACAGGTCTGGAAAAGGTTCAATTATAAGATGGAAGAAAAATCTCATTCATTTATGATAATTATATTTCAATATTTTCCGATAAACGTTAAGTAGGCCTACCGTGATATCATAGAACCCCGGGCTACTATACGATCCGGAGACTGAGGACTTTATTCAGGGGGACGTTATTCGGCTTGTATACAGTTTAGACTATTCTTATCACATTTTATTTATCATTGATAAAAATTCAAGATGGACCTCTTTCTCTAATTTACATGGACTCTTTTCTTTACAGGATTTAAAAATTTAGAGTAACCCTAGAACTAAAAAGGAATTTTGGTAGGCAACTTCTTGTCAGATTTTCTTCGTATCATAATTAGGCTTTAGAAGTCACATCGGAAGTTAATCACACCTTGACAACATTGACCTAACCTTGACCTTTCGGCAGTGTGAGAGAAGATGGCTTCAAACTCGAGATTCGGACACATAGACATTGCTCCTCCTATCGAAGTGTTTGCTTTGATAGCTGAATACAATAAAGATGAATATCCAGATAAGGTCAATGTCAGTGTAGGAGGTAAGAAATCGTCTTTTTTTGTGACATCTTTGTTGTTTCGCTCTAATTATTTTCGTACCAGTGTAGATCTACAGTAGGTCTACCCCTGTTTACACCGATAAACACTTTCCTCAACTAGCAGACGACAGGCTATTCTTATGGACTACTGGTCGGAGACCATCAACCGGACACTTTTGGAACATTTTTCCATACAGATTTCATAATTTTTAACCTAGAGACCAAAAACTTTGACAGTGACACAGTTCAGCTAAGTTCTTCTCCTAACTAACAATCTAGTCTGTTCATTTCTGTTTTTATTGACAATTATATCTGAGGCTCGACAAGGAGGGTATCAAAATTACCTAAATTGTCTACACTACAGTATCAGGACAGATACCACGTTGTCAGGACAGAGTCACAGATATGTACATGACATAATTTAATTCAGATAAAAGCTTGGGTGTTTTGATTTTTAACATGATATACATGTACAATATGTCAGCAACAAATGCTGAAGTTTTGGATATTCTATTATTCACTCTGCACATGATTATAGCTGGTATATGAGGCCAGGCATTGCTTTCTTGACCCCCAAATTTCAATGTCAACATTCTTGAAATAGACATTAAAATATTACCGTTTACGGAGGTTGAAATAAATTTATTTACTTAATTTTAAAATAAACGTGCACTTATTGTTGATAAAAAAGTGACTGACAAACACTGAACAAATAGAATACTAAATTAAGCATTTTCGGGGCTGTCCGGGTTTGGTGGTCCCCAACCAGTACCATCATGACCCTCTTTTCAATAGGTGTTGATTATTTGAATGGTCATTTCAAGGTTTATGATAAAATAAAGCCTTCTCTTGTTTATTAGCTTACAGGACTAAGGAAGGCAAACCATGGGTGCTACCAGTTGTACGAACAGTTGAAGCCCAGATGGCATCAGATCAAACTCTGAACCACGAGTATCTCCCTGTAGCAGGATTACCAAGTTTTAGAGAAGCTGCCTGTAGGCTAATTTTGGGTTCTGAAGATGTTGACTATACAAGAGTAAGTACAGATAGTTTGGGATGAACAAAACAGTCAAACACTTTCTTGTAATTTAAAGATTACAATCCCTCATAAACTATTTTCAAACAGCTAATGTCTGTTAATATCGTGAAAAACACGAGGCAGCTCTCAATTTCTTTCAATGGTTTTTGGATACCTATTTTTAGTATATTTTTTTCATGTGAGAGGGTGTTTTCCAAATGTGATGTCATTATATGATAAGATTTCAATATGTCATCTCGAGTACATGCTCATTAGGGTTTGTATATTGTTTTAATAGCCTAGGGTGGGAATATTATGAGGAAATTGAATTAAATGAGGTAGAAACATAGTTCTATTTTCATTGCCTGAGTTGATCATTTCACGGATTATGATAATAAGCAATCTAGAACATATCCAAACCCTTACCATACTAAATATCTTAAATGGACTTGTCCATCTTTCAATCTTGACAAAATCATTCATCATTGTTAATATCTAAGGGAAAATATCAAATATGTACTGACTGAATACTTGGGACCAATTCAGACCATGATCAGAAAGTACATGTATAATAATTGTCACCTTGGTGCAGTAACAGGGTAAGTCCTTCTAAATTTAATGTTAGTTATCCAGTTACTGTACTGATGTGACGATATGTGCCGGCTGATCTTGCTCTGCAATGGAGGCGTGGCTAATGGTTAAATGTTGATTTTAGATTGGTGGTGTACAGGCATTAGGTGGCACAGGAGGTATACGTTTATGTGCTGACTTTACAAAGAAATTCCTTGGCTGTGATACTGTTTATGTTTCTAAACCAACTTGGGGTAAGGATTTCATAGAACTTTTTTATAAAATGGAAAAGATTTAAAGTTAACTATTGATAACTCATTTACATTATTGGTTATTTAATATTAAAGATCCTGTATGTTTTGTGATTGATATTGTTACTGTGTGTATCACACACTTGAAAAATATTATATATGTATATAATTATGCAAATAAAACAATTTTCAAACATCCAAGAATATGTAAAATGTGTACTGCAAATATTTGTGCACATTATATTTAATCAATAAGTTACATGCATTCATTTCTTATTGGAAAATTTGACTTGGAATTTATAGAAAATAAATTTCTAATTACTTCCTTTTATTTACGCAAAATGTTAAATTGGGTAATATCTTTATAGATAATGCTTATTTGAACTTACAAGATTGACAAAACTTAATTTGAGCGTCATATTTATGAAATTAAACCATGAAAAAAATGTGTTAAGGATCTTTAATTCTTGTCTTATAATAAAACATAAATGATAGAAGAAATGTTAAATTTTGAACAGAAACTATTACAGCTAAATTCTTGTTTTGGGGAAATGAACAAAATATTGAGCTAATTTAGAATATGCAGCAAGTTTGATTCATGATGATGTTGTTGAATTTAAGGTAACCACAAGGGAGTATTTAAAGCTGCAGGATTTTCCAACATTGTTGAGTATCGTTACTGGAAAGCAGAAACTTGCAGCCTTGATATTGATGGCATGTTACAAGATTTAGAGGTAAAAAGTAACAACTTTACATATATTTCATAAAGTTGTTTTTTAGCCTATTTTCAGATAATTTTGTAAGTTATTTCAGGCCATATTCCCACTGGGAAAAAGTCATCCGGGAAAGCCAGCTGGGTTGACCAACTACTAAAATATGACCCAAAATGTGCTAAAACTGGTGTAAATTGACTAAATTCAATCAAATAAAAAGATAAACTTAACAACAAGAATAGCATCATATGAAACTTCAGATTGTATATTGATTTTTGTTTGACAATGTAACACAATGTTCCCCTGTCCTAGCAGTCAGTTAAATTAGCCTCAGTATTTATCATTTTAATATTTAGGTAATAAGGAAAATATTATGTAAATGTTATTTACTCATAAATATTCATCAACATCATTTATTGTGGTAGGGAGCCCCACCAAATTCTGTGGTAATCCTTCATGCAGTAGCCCATAATCCCACTGGTGTTGACCCAACCCCCGATCAGTGGGAGACGATTGCAGATTTGTGTGAAAGGAAAAACATGTTTGTACTAATGGACTGTGCCTACCAGGGCTTTTCTACGGGCGATTTGGACAAAGACGCCTATTCATGTAGACTTTTCTATAAAAAAGGATTTGAATTCTTCATTGCACAGTCGTTTAGTAAAAATTTTGGACTCTACAGTAAGTAATAACATGTATTGCTTATTAGTAATGTTTAAGACTGTAGTGAAAAATTAAATTTCTGTTTCCAGGTAAATCTGATAGTCTATAAAAAAGATAAATGTCCACTGGATTGAATTATTTTCCATATGTTATCGTAATGAAATTTTTTTTAGGTTCTTCTGTTCAAAGCACGGAAGAAATGAAGTTTGTTAATGAAATATTGGTCATATTCCTTTATCTTTCCAAATTTCTCTCAAAGTTTACTCAATAAACCTTTGTGGCCCTAAAACATTTGAAGGAAAACTATAAAAGGGGGAATGATTATGATTCAAACAAATAAATCGACTTGCGTACATATTTAGAATCATTCAGTGAATTTATAGGTCACCTTTTGGTAGATAATAACATTTAAGGACATGATTGTTGAAGTGTCCTGGTCTGTAATCTCAGTGCTTGAAAGGGAGGATGGACCCCCATTAAGCCTAGGGTACATACAGACATACAAATTGGAACAAATTCATGCAAGACGAGAGTAATACATATATAAACTCATGTCTTCTTCATATAGACTAATAGAAAATATTAATGGAATATGAATGAAGTTTATGAATATGACATTCTTTTGAAGAAGGAAGAGAAGTGCAGCGAAATTTGCATAAACCTTGTAACCACGCCTACATTTTTTCATTGATCATGATTTCAACATTTGAAATAAGTTTCTTTCAAAACAAAACAAATTGTTAAGTCAAATTCAGGTACATTTCTATTTGAATAAGAAACCATCAGGTAGTCTTATTTTTTAATGAGTTCAAGCCATGTATAATGTAACTATTTTAAAATTTAAAAAAAAAATCCATATTACAGACGAACGTGTGGGTAACTTGTGTGTTATAGCAAAGGACTCTGAGAGTAAGGTTAAAGTCCTATCACAGTTAGAGTTGATTGTACGTACCACATACTCAAATCCAGGAAACCATGGAGCAAGAGTTGTAGCCACTGTTCTAAACAACCCAGCATTGAACGGGGAATGGTAAGTCTTGTTTTACTGTTAGTCAACTGTTAGTTATATTGAGACCTGGAGTGTGTTTAGTCAACTGTTAGTTATATTGAGACCTGGAGTGTGTTTGTGGGCAATTTTTTATGACCCAACTATATAGGCATGGGAAATAGTTTAACCCTTGTCTGGCAGTTGAACCCACTGTTTGTCATTGGACTGTGGAGGCCTCCAAGTCCAATGGACATATTTCTATTTGAATATGAGAAGTGAAAATGCTTTTGTCATGTACATTGTACATTTTTACTGATGGTGAACTGTGCTCTTTAAAGACTTATGTACTGCATAGCAATGCTCTCGAAAATATAGTGTCATTCATCATGTAAATGTTCATACTAAATCACTTAGAAATTTATTCAAGAAATATTTTTAAGAATAACAAATTGATACATTTCTGTTGTTTTTAGCAGTTTTTGAAATACTTACAATTGTAGACCGATTCACTATAAAGTACTAATTTTATACTATTCTATTTTGGCTACACTTTCTGGTTTATTAAAGATGTTCAATTGTTAGCAATGTCTTGTAAATGTCTGTTTCAGGAAAGAAAACATTAGAACAATGGCAGGCCGTATATTGGGAATGAGAGATCTACTTCATCAGAAGTTAAAGGCGATCGGTTGCCCTGGTAACTGGGATCATATAATTCAGCAGAAGGGAATGTTCAGTTATACAGGTCTTAACGGTAAGCTTATAGCGCTCATTAAACTTAACAGGGAGAATATTAGCTTTGTAATATAAGGGGTTTCTGGTTCGATCCTTTGGTGAGGCTAAATTTCTCTATGACAGTTGAGCTGGGCAATTGAATCTAATGGTCAATTGTCTCCTGCTATTGATTCAGAAAAATCATGTAGTTTGCTGTGTCAAAGTGGAGCAAGAGTGTATCCATGTTTGTCACTGATATTCTTCTGTCAAAGGTTTGACCTGTGAAGTACATTTTTGAGATTAAGTAAGAGAACTACCATTTATATTGCTACTCAGGCTGAGAAAGGTTAGAAATCTTCTGTAATGCATTATGCCAGCGAGGCAATACTTTAATTCTCTTGCCATTTTGAATGATAGATAATAATTCATCATTTGTCTTTTTGTTTCTCTGTCTGAAATTTGTAATCCAGGGGTTGTTTGTTCGATCCTCGTTAAGGTGAAATTCCTCCTTGACCACTGATTTAAGAAGTCATGTAGTATTAGTAGTCACTTAAGGAGAAATCTGTTATTGCTGGCTAGTTATCCAGGTAAGCCAGTTAGATGGATGTGCCGACATGTGACCAAAAATGTGTGAAAATTGGTGTAAAAGTGAAACAAACAAACTTGAGTCTCCGCAGCGTAAAAACAAATAAGTTTCACAAAATTCTGTAGCTAGCTGCTTTTAATAGAGCAACACATTTGTATTTAAAAAAGCAACACATTTCTATTTATAGAGAAACACATTTCTATTTATAGAACAACACATTTCTATTTATAGAACAACACATTTCTATTTATAGAACAACAGTGTGAGAAGTTGAAGAAGGATTATCATATATACATAATGAAATCAGGGAGAATCAACATGTGTGGTCTCACGCCAACCAATATGGACTACGTTGTCAACGCAATATTCACCGTCGTATCTGGAAAACAAGATTCTAAAATATAGGTCAAAGGTGAAATATCATCATTTAGACCTTTTGGAAAAAAAATTAAAAAATGTAATAAACTAAGACTCACAGAAAAACTGTAGCAAAACCTTTATGTATGACCTTTGAAAGGGTAACCGTGATTTGTTATGTGGTCTTTAAACAGAGTGTGAATGCAGGTTAACACAGGTTTGACTTGAAAATATTATTTAGTTAAAAAAAAACAGTTTAACCAGTGCTTTTAGATATTTATAGGAAAAAATATGTTGACACTTTTACCTTTTGGAATGAATTGCTTGTGTTTAGCATAGACGGTCAACTCACATGCTTATACTTTATTTAATGCCTCTTCCTCCTTGGTTAAGTGAGTTTTTTTTTTTTTAATTTTCACATTTGCAAGTAGACAACCAATGTTAATGTATTTTTGTTGTTTCGAAAAACTATTGGATATACAAGATTTTTATCATGAAATGTGCATATATGCAAGCATTCAACTGTTTAAAGGAGAAAAAAAATATTCAATTGTGTGTTCTCCGCATTTTTTGTGGAATTTTTTGTTACTCTTTTTGTTGTTGTTTTTGATTGTTTTTAAAGCTGTAATGGAGAAACTATTTAGGCTATGAGAAGTGTGGTGATTTTTTTTATTTACAAGTTTTGCAAGCTGAAATATTGTGATATAAACATAAAATTGCTGAAAACACATGATGGTTATCTATTCTTAATGGCAGTTGTCAATCCAGGATGAACTGTGCATTTAAGTTTTATTTCACATCATATTTTTCAATTCAAAGTATAAATTGTTAATGGATGGCACAATCAGAATTTTCTTTATTTATATCATGCAGACAAGTTAAGCTAAAAATATGATTCACATAAAAATTGACAAGAAAGTAAGTCATATATTGCCAGCCCTGCAAATGGTCAATGAATTACAAGATTGCTATGGGCTTACCAATATTTGCCATTAAAAATAGATTATCTGAATATGTTTTAAAGACTGCTTTTAGTAAGAATTGATTGGGTTATTTTTTTATGACTGATTGAAAACACTTGTGTTTTGTACATGCAGCAAGTTCTTATATTAAGGGCATTATGTACAGTGTTAACAATGATCTTTGGAAAGGTGTTTTTAAAAAGGCCATATGTTTTTATTTTATAACATTCATTTATATCAATATACTTTAAAGGCACATAATGCCCCAGAAATGATTTTGTTCCGTTTTCTTCCGCATATGTTTTACATGCATTTAATGATGGATAATTATATGAAGTAGAAAGTATGTAGCACTGATTGTAAAATAAGTTTTACATAAGATTAAGTGGTGTTTTATCTCCCACACAAATATATACACACACACACACACACACACACTATCATTGTACTAATTGCGTTGGCGTCGGCGTCGGCGTCACACCTTGGTTAAGTTTTTCGTACCACCCCACTTTATTTCAGAAGTATTACAAGTATGGCTTTGAAACTTACCATACTTGTTCACCATCATAACCTCCATCTACAGACAAGAGTACATAACTCTGTCAAGGTTTTTGACAGAATTATGGCCCTTTTTTGACTTAGAAAGTGTATTGAGCTTGGTTAAGTTTTTTGTACCACCTCACTTTATTTCAAAACCATTGGAGGTATTGCTTTGAAACTGACCATACTTGTTTACCATCACGACCTTCATCAACAGACAAGAGGACATAACTCTGTCAAGGTTTTTGACAGAATTATGCCCCTTTTTGACTTAGAAAATACATTGAATATGGGTAAAATCCACTTATTGCCTTAACCCTTTGAGATATTGCTTTGAAACTTTTAATGCTATTTCACATCATTACCCCCATCTGTACGCAAGAGAAGGTAACTCTGTCAAGGATTTGTTTTAAAAATTAAGGCCTTTTATCGACTTAGAATCTTGGTTCTTGTATTGCCTTTTACTGCAGAAACTTTTTTTATTGGCAAGCACCCCACTTTATTTCAGAAGTATTACAAGTATGGCTTTGAAACTTACCATACTTGTTCACCATCATAACCTCCATCTACAGACAAGAGTACATAACTCTGTCAAGGTTTTTGACAGAATTAATGGCCCTTTTTTGACTTAGAAAGTGTATTTGAGCTTGGTTAAGTTTTTTGTACCACCTCACTTTATTTCAAAACCATTGGAGGTATTGCTTTGAAACTGACCATACTTGTTTACCATCACGACCTTCATCAACAGACAAGAGGACATAACTCTGTCAAGTTTTTGACAGAATTATGCCCCTTTTGACTTAGAAAATACATTGAATATGGTAAAATCCACTTATTGCCTTAACCCTTTGAGATATTGCTTTGAAACTTTTAATGCTATTTCACATCATTACCCCCATCTGTACGCAAGAGAAGGTAACTCTGTCAAGGATTTGTTTTAAAAATTAAGGCCTTTTATCGACTTAGAATCTTGGTTCTTGTATTGCCTTTTACTGCAAAAACTTTTTTTATTGGCAAGCAATAAAAAAGTCGAGCGCGCTGTCTTACGGACAGCTCTTGTTTTTAAATTGTAAGCACAATATTTCAAATGACCTGAAGCACTTTCAAGTTAATCTATATATTAATGTCTTTGATATATATTTGTATTTAATGTAGACTTATTCAATCATGAAGTGTTATGTGATTCCCAATTAGCGTTTATAATTTATATATATAATGAGCATGATTTTTGGGCAAATAAATAGCCATGATTGTTTTTAATTGTTTTTGCTACATGACTCTTCCCCTTGCTTCAATAATACACTTATAAAGTATATATTGCATTTATATTATGAAAATTATGTGCAGTAATTATATGGATTGATTGCTATATTTATATGCACATATGGTGAGAGAATATGTGTTTTATTTTATTTTTTTCAGTGTCTTTCCCGGCCACAATGAATATTGCCCTTCCACATTGAATATTGCCCTGCCTCAATAAATATTGCCCTGCCTCAATGAATATTGCCCTGCCTCTGCCCAGCACTTACGGCACACTTGTTATGTGTTTTGCAAAAATGGCAACTACTCCATTCTTTATTTGAAACTGAATTCTTTCTGTTTGTAATTTTTTAGCTCGACTTTTCTATGAAAAGGGGAGCTATCCTACTCGCCCCGGCGTCGGCGTCGGCGTTAGCGTCGGCCTTGGCGTCACACCTTGGTTAAGTTTTTCGTACCACCCCACTTTATTTCAGAAGTATTACAAGTATGGCTTTGAAACTTACCATACTTGTTCACCATCATAACCTCCATCTACAGACAAGAGTACATAACTCTGTCAAGGTTTTTTGACAGAATTATGGCCCTTTTTTGACTTAGAAAAGTGTATTGAGCTTGGTTTTTTGTACCACCTCACTTTATTTCAAAACCATTGGAGGTATTGCTTTGAAACTGACCATACTTGTTTACCATCACGACCTTCATCAACAGACAAGAGGACATAACTCTGTCAAGGTTTTTGACAGAATTATGCCCTTTTTGACTTAGAAAATACATTGAATATGGGTAAAATCCACTTATTGCCTTAACCCTTTGAGATATTGCTTTGAAACTTTTAATGCTATTTCACATCATTACCCCCATCTGTACGCAAGAGAAGGTAACTCTGTCAAGGATTTGTTTTAAAAATTAAGGCCTTTTATCGACTTAGAATCTTGGTTAAGTTTTTAGTACCAGTCCACTTTTTGACTGAACTGTTTGAGATATTAATTTGAAAGTTGGAATACTTGTTTACAATCATGATTCCCAAACATGTCCAGGAGAAGGTAATTCTGTCAAAGATTTTATTTGAATTATGGCCCTTAACTGTCAATGTTTTGTATTATAGGCAAGCACTAAAAAACTTAAAAAATCTAAAAAAAAAATTCATTCCTATCCACTTGTTCACTTTACATAAATTATGTCATATAAACATTGCTGTAATATTCAAGGGTATTCAAAAATACAAGTACAAAAATATTACTGCTTCCTTGGG